GAGAGAGAGAGAGAGAGAGAGAGAGAGAGAGAGAGAGAGAGAGAGAGAGAGAGAGAGAGAGAGTCTGAGAGTCTGAGAGACTGAGACAGATAAACGGACGGAGGGACGGACGAACTACACAGGCGGATAGCAGACAAACAGACACACAAACAGCACTTTACATGTTGTTGCAGAGAACAACCCTGTGAACTGGAGGGAGAAAGAGAGGAGAAGATTGTGACAGACTGTTTCCTCCGACTTTCTTCAGGTAAGTAGAATCCATTAAGTCCCGACAGAAGTACAGTTCAAATTTAGAAAAAGCAAAATGGTGTACGCAGCTTCTCCTCGTCTTAAACGCCAGGTGGATGTTTACGTTGTTCTGGAGATGCTCGAGGGTGGTATGGGCTGGCTCCTGCTCAGCGTGTTGACGATAGGCGTTGGGGCCCTGGGACAGTTCATGACGGCCTGGATTTTTTGGACTGGCGTTGGTATGTCCGTCCTTGAAGGGGGCTCCAAGTATCTCCGAGGACGCATCCATCGCCTTTTTTTCCATGGTATGTCGTGCTGCCAAGTGTCAACAGCTCAGGGTACCTCATACCGATACAAGCTGGGAACTTTCGAAATCCTTGGTGGTCGATTTCGTGTCACGTTCGCGTATGTATTTATAATCGCCATTGTTCGGCTCTTGGTTATGGGTTTGCAACTGGGCTTTGGGATTCACATGTACACAGGAATCCACGATTTCAAGAAGATAACGGATTTCGACGAAGACATGGGGAACAAGCGTGTGGTTGAGTGCATCCACTGCACATTTTACTTTCTTGTTCTCCACTCAGCGCTGGTGACGCTGCTGATCTTCTTCTCCTTTTTCAAGGCGTTGCTGTGCCCATTTGTTTCCTGGATTCGTGGAGTCTGTTGGTCTTGTGGCGGTGGTTGTAAGGGAGGTTGTGTGGGTGGCGGTTGTGGGAGGACCTGCTGCTCGTTAAGCAGGGTTCCGTTGATGGAACGTGTGGATAGAGCGCAGAGGGCCATGGAGATGGGCGTGACTTGGTACGTGCATCGCCATCAGCACTGGTACTTCACTGCAGTCGAAGCTCAGGCGAAGAAACAGGACTGTGGACTTCAGGGGTACTGGTTTCTCTCGGTGAAGGAGCTTGTAAAACAGGTGGGTGACCACCTGCCTGACCTGGCCGATGAGAATAGGTACGCGGCGTCAAAGCGACGAGGAAGAAAGGTCGGGAAGCAGCTGACTATGGCCTTGGATTCTCTTCTGGAGCTGTCGAGAGAACAGAGGGTGTGCGACTGCGGGGATGATAGCTCACCAGATGAGACGGCCAGTTACCTGAAGGACTTGCCTCAGACAAGTCGTTGCAGGCACGACGTGGACGCGTGCCGGGACTTTGCACAAGCTGGAGGCTATCTTGTGATGCTGCAGGTGCTGAATTCTTGCCCGGAGGACTCAGACGACGTACACCTGGCCGCTTCTATCTTGTCAGGATTTGCTGCAGGTCTGTCGGTCCTGACCTGGCAACCTGGCCAGTCGCAGGAGATAGTAGAAATGCTGGAGCACGAAGACTTCTGCTGTTGTACGAGGCAAGTGCTCAAGCGCTTGGGTAAGTTGATGCAGCGAACTATCGTTCCAAAAGGGAAGGGTCATTGTAATCCGCAAACGATCGTTCCAAAGGGCAAAGAGGATTGTAATGCGGAACGCACTCAGCGGCTGCAAGAAGCGCTCGTGTCAGCAATCTGTTCGTATGCGCACGCAGCGAGCGACATTGCCGCACACCTCCAGTGGCATGCATCTAAGGTTGCACGAGCAGGTCGCGCACAAGCTTCTAGTGTTGCACAAGCAGGTAGCGCACAAGCTTCTAGTGTTGCACAAGCAGGTAGCGCACAGGGGAACGGCATCGTAAATGTTGATGACGAGCGTAAGAAGCACCTGCGTATGCTAAGTAATGCCTTCACCACTTTCTGTCCTGTCGGATGGTTCCTCGAAGTGCAGTTTCCTCAATTTCAAGCAGTCTCTGACGGCTGGTTTCTCTGGTTGGAGACAGTAAGGTGGGAACTAACGCATGGAGGTGATGGCATCATTTTGACGACCCTGATGGACTGCGCAAGTCGTCCATCAGACTTCCCACGCAAGGTGGTGGCTGACTCCATCAGGACCCTCTCCTCTCTCTTCTCCCGCAGGATGATCTATTGGCACCGGTTCGATATGCGGCACGAGGAGCTACCGGACCCCTTCGTCAGAATCACACCTCTCAAGAACTCAGCAGATCTGCGAGAAGGACTGAAAAAACTTGTTGTCCAGTGCTGCAATGAGGATGATCCATTATTTTCGGTGCCGGTGTTCTCGAAGCTGCAGCTAGCCAAGATGCTTATCTCTCAAGACATAAGGGATAATGACGAGAAGGTGGTCCAGGTGCTGTTGTTGTGCTTGCGTTGTTGGAGGCGATCTCTGGGTGCCAAGGAGCTTGATTGGCTGGCGTGCGAAACTGTGGAGATGCTCAGAGATGTGGTAAGAAGTTCTCACAATCCAGCGGAAATCAGCAGGTTCATTGCCAGCTCGCCTGGGGGGCTTGAATGCCTCACTCTGATGCTCCAACCTCGATTCCCTAGGATTGCCGCTATTCGAGTGGACACCGAACAAGACACCTCTGACGCACCGGTGGCACCTTTGTCTGGGGACGAAGGTAGGGGTCCCTCCGCCGAGGGTCAGGTCGACGCAGCTAGCTCCTCCTCCAGCGCTTCCAAGGGCGCATTCAGAAATTTGTTCAGGCATGTCACCGACGCGAGGTGGGCCGGGGATAAGCAGGTTTCCATTCGGTACTCCGCCCCTGCTGTAGGGCTATTACAAGACATCATCACCACCACTAGCGGAGGCGATCAGGACACAAGAGAGGTGCTCAATCAGAATTTCTCGGCGTTCCTTTCTAGTCTAATGTGCGTGATGATGAATCTCACCAATGTCAAACTACAAGGCCGGAGTTTGACTCACGGATCAGCGGAAGGGCAGAGGTGCTGTAGTGGGCCTTGTGGTCGGTCCGAGACGGGTCAAGCTTGCGCAAAGAGGTGGTTTCGACAGATCTTAGTCGGCTTCGTGCTGCTATTTGTGGAGTCGCTCGGTCATCCAGCCTGGCACCCGCCTTGTTCATGCATGGAGAAAATAAGCAGTGTTTCTGAGGAGGAACAGGACAACATCATAGAGCACCTGGAACTGAATGTGAATATCCTGCTTGGAGCGAGATACGCCGTGAGTTTGGTTAACCATCTCATCGATTCTCGCCGGGAGAGGCTCAGTCTGGCGGAAGTGAAACTGCTTATCGATCCATTGCTTTGGTTGCGTCAAGTCCGAGCTCCTCAGCTGCATTTAGTTCTTGCACTTCGAGATTGGAACGAGGAGATTAAAAGAACTATTACGAGGTTGCTTCATAACATTAAACCTTTTATACAGGGTAAGGTGGAAAGCAGTGCACCGTCGCAAGAAGAGAAAGAAGTGTGGAAGGCTTTTCTGGGCAAGCTCGAAGAGCAGGAGAAAAAGGAGCAACAAGAGAGAAGAAACAGGCCTCAGGACGAACCCACCGACAGCGGCGACAGGCAAATTCATCAGGCGAGGGGGGGTCAACTGGGTACGGGAAGGCAAAAACAGGGGACGACAACTTCAAGGCCACCTTCTCACCCGCTGACCATCGGAGGGGCTGGAGCCCAAGGGGGTGGAACCAGTGACCAGAATGCAGATGACAATGGCGACCAGCTTTCTCACAATAGGAGACAAAAGGGGAGGGGGAGGGGGAGGGGGAGGGGGAAATTCTTGCCTGATGATAGTGATCAAAATCGCAACATGGAGCTGGCCAGGAAGCAGAACGTGAGCAGCGCAGAAGGTACCAACCAGGGTGTTGCGTCGGATGCAACCCCTTCGGGCAGGCCCATTCTATCGACGGATGGGATTGACAAGTCTATGCAGCAGGCGTCCAGTAGTGGGGACGCACGTGATGCTGGGAGGCAAGATCCTGTTTCAAGTGACGCTTACGGTGAAAGCACAAGTGCTCAGCAGAGTCAACACACAGGAGAATTGGCCCAATTGGGATCTGGATCTACGAGTGCCCAGCATGTCCAGGAGACGTCAGACTCCACTGCAGGAGTGCGTAGTACGGAAAGCAGCAGTCACGATGCATCTCAAGCCAGCAGAGGAGAGAGCACAAGCGCACAGGAGAACAGCTCTCTAACAAGGCTACCTCCTGCCGTGAGCGGCCAAGCAGACACCGCCGATCCTGAAGACAAGAACGGGAAGCGCATGCCCTTGCTTGCATGATGAATTGAGATGTCTTCATCTGACTCAGACTGACTGACCAGCATATCCGATGATTAAGCTGGACATCTTTGGACTGATCAGAACCGATACTATACATGATCTTCGCCCAAAGGAGGTCTGCGGCCCCTTGTTGGAGAAGAGGTCTGGGATGTATATGAACCGATACTACGTGTTTGTACTTTGATCTTTATGTGTATGGGACGCTGGACCCGTTTTCCAGCACGTGATGCTCCCCACGAATAGATGGAGTAAAAT